TGTCTTTGAGGACCTGACTGATGAGTAGACCGACTTTTGTGCCTGTGGCGACACCATGAGGTAGAGACACAGTATGTCACTCGGGCATGTGCTGGTCAGAATAGGAGGCTGCTGTGGTGACTACTTTAAGGATTCCAGTGATTCTTCGCACTCTTGAGTCCACTCGAAATTAGTGGAGCCCCCTATGGCTTTAAAAAAGTAGTAGCACTTATTGCCGCCCAACTCATAAGATTGAGGGCCGTCACGTGCCCTATCAGCCACTAAACCTCTTTTTTCCTAGTGGGGCTCTTCATTTCCAGTATTCCCTGTATCTTGTCAGGGTTTACCTCAATTCCTCTTTGGGTGATCATGAAGCCTAGGAACTTTTAGCCGGCAGTACTGAAGACACACTTTTCCTGGTTGAACTTCAAGTTACTGTGTCGGGCCACATCAAATACTTTATGTAGACAAGCTAATTGATCTGTAGCTTTGACACTTTTCACTACCATGTCGTCGACGTAGGCTTCTATGACGTTTCCGATCAGTTTTCAAAAGACTCTATTCACCATTTTTTTGGTAGATTGCTCCTGCATTTTTTAGGCCGAACGACATAGCCATGTAGCAATATGTTCCAGAATATGTGATAAATGACGTCTTTTCCTGGTCTGATTCGGCCATTGAAATTTGATGATACTCAGAAAATACATCCAGGAAGCTGAGCCTTTCATGACCTGATGTGGCGTCGACCAGGTGATCTGTCCGAGGGAGTGGGTATGAGTCCTTCAGGCATGCTTTATTTAGCCCGATGTAATCTACACACATGCGTCATTTCCCGTTAGACTTCTTTACTAGCACGATGTTGGCCAGCTACTCGGAATACAGCACTTCCCAAATGAAACCAGCTTGTAGTAGCTTCTCCACCTCTGCTTTTGCTACTTCCTGCCTTTCAGGGGTGAGGTTTCTTTTCTTCTACTTCACTGGTTTGGCTCTAGGGAGGACGCCGAGGTGATGCTGAGCAATAGCTTGGCTGATCCCAATATTGTCGTTTGGGCTTCATGCAAAAACATCAAGGTTATCTGCCAGGCATCTTACCAACCTCCCTTTTTCATCAAATTCCAATTCGGCCCCGATGCTAAACTCTCGTCCTTCTGATACGGAGATCCTTTCGATCATGTCCAGTGGTTCGATCCGTCCCTTCGGAGTTTCAACCTCTAGCATCATGACCGGTGGTGCTTCCTTAAGTGATATACTGTTGACATAACATTTCCTAGATGTTTGGTGGTCCCCTCGCACACACCCAACTCCCCTGCTAGTTGGGAATTTCATGACCTGGTAATAGGTCGAGTGGATGGCTCTAGTTGCGTTCAACAATGGCCGACCGTAGATCACAATATAGGCCATGGGAGTTTTTACAACTAAGAAGCTTGCCACAATTACCACAGTGGTCGAATATGTTCCGAGCATGAAAGTGAGTTCCATGGTCTCTTCCGGAATTACCGTAGCCCCTCCAAAGCTTTGTAAAGGGGTGGTTACTATTTTCAACTTATCAAGGGATATCTTTAAACCAAAAAAAAATCCCATGTTAGTACATTTGCAGCACTTCCTCCATCGACCAGCACCCTCTTAACGTCGAAATCAGCTATGTCACCTACTATCACCAAAGCATCATCATGGGGGTGTGCTATGCCCACCAAATCCTCCTCTCCAAAGGTGATGTTATGACAAAACCTTGCTTTGCTTTGGATAGAATCTCCACCTTCTGCTATCCCCTCTGCCATCACGTTTATAACTCCTGCCCAGGGCGGGGGTAGTCTTCCACTTTTTGTTTACCCCTGTTGTCATTCACATATTTGCCCAAGAACTCTTGTCTCAGGATGCGCTCGATCTCCTTCTTCAGCTGCAGACACTTTTTCGTATCATGCCCCTGATCCTTGTGGAAATGACAATGTCTGCCCTGGTTTCTCTTACCGAGTGGCGTTGCCATGGGCCTCGACCATTCAAGCTCCTTCATATCTCGTATCTTCAGCAATCACTTCGCATGCATGGGTGTTTAAAGGGGTGAACGTCCTAGGCTCCTCCCATGTTGCCTGACTTGTCTATCTTGGATGGTCCCCTTACCCATATGCTCACTCCTTGACTTATTTTTGTTGGCAGATCTCAATTCGTCTCCAACCTTTCACTTGTGACTCTTCATTTCCCATCCCTCTATGAGGTGTTTTTTGACCTTTTCCTCTTCTTCGGTATCAACATACTTGTCTCCCTTTTTCAATAGGTCATGCATTGACTCTGAAGAGTTCTTGAAAAGTAAAACCTTGAAGGCCCGGTTCTGAGTTTTGTTCATCAATACAGTCACCACTGTTGACATTTGAAGATCCTCTATTCCATGGGTTGCTCGACTGAATCTGGCCAAATACTCTTGCAGAGACTCGTCCTTCTCCTGGACCACCTGCATCAAACCACTGGCCGTCTTTCTCTTTTTCTTACTACTGAGGAAGCAGGCCATAAAGCTCCTGAAAAGTTCATCAAGTGTTTGGATATATCGGGGGACAAGTGTTGCCACCCAGTCTCTGGCTTCTCTCCTGAGGGTCGGGGAGAAAGACCGACACATCACTGCATCAGGTGCTGCATAGAGCCTCATTAAATCAACGAAAGTCTGGAGATGGTCAAGTGGATCTGTAACCCGTCGTAGGCTTCTATCATAGGCTATTTGAAACCCTTAGGCAAGGGGACCGTCATGATTTCAGAAGCGAATGGGTCCTCTTCTAAGACCATCTGCCTACGCCTATTTTTTCTTTGATATTGCATCATCTATTTTTTGTGTCATGATCTCCTCCATCCTCTGCCCCAGATCCGCTATGGGCAGGATGGGCTGCAAGATCGCAACCGCAACCGCCGGAGCCCCGAGCCCGCAGCTATTGATTGGATGACAAGCGGTGTTTCTATGTGCGCCTCCTGAGGTGGCAGCACGGCTTCCACCAAATGCAGCTGGATTGCGGCTCTCTCTGCATTTGATTCTGCAAGAAGGTCATCATAGACACTAGCTGAGTCTCCAGGGCGCTGAACTAGCTTTGTGTCACATACTGCGGTGGGCCCCTAGCAATTGATTCCGATTCCGTCTACGCCGTTGCTGCTCTCAAGCCTATCTCACTTCTTGTTCGTCTTCTTGACATGGCTTTAGTGTTCAATGGAAGAAACTTCCGATAGACGGTGCCAATGAAATGGTGGTGGAATAATTCTTTCCCGTCTACTTGGTGGCATTTGGCGTTCTTGCTACTCCGTTGGGCATGTGTAACTTGAAAAATGAAGGCGGGGCTTTCTCCCCCATTTTACCTCCGCCGTGATAATCAGTAAATGATATTGGGAAGTATGAAGATGAATTTAGAAGGCTAGGAAAAAATGATGTCGTCCATACCTGTGTCACCCTCGGGGGTAATGGTGTCACGTGTCCCACGTTCTGAGTGGGGGATCTTAACTTCCTGCTCGAAGGTTGATTCCAAGGTAACCGTCACGTATCCTCGTCAATTCATTCAGGATTTTGTGGCTAAGTGTTGAGATGACCTTATAAACAATTTCACATCAGCCGATGATCTTATGTAGAGGTAGAGTCCCCCCTAGGGGGTTGAAGGTCATGCGTAGAGATAGAGCCTCCCCCCCCCCCCCCCCCCCGCCCGCTCTTTCAAATTTTTATGCTTTTGTTTCAATTTTCGAAATCATTATGAGATGTCAAATGAAATCGAAATATTACATTTTTGATATCATTTCGAAGTGTTCACGACTTAATTTTCTACATTGTTAATGGTGGTTGCAACGACTAACTGTAACAAATGTTACAGTTTGTAAAAATAGGTAATTTCAAACTAATATTTCGAAAATTTCGATAGCATGCTAACATTAAAAATTCTCCTCTCGGGGAGGTAACGGCCTCTTGTTGAGATAGAGCACCTGTGGGTAGGTAGTCTCGTGTGGAGGTAGAACGTCCCGGGAGGTCAAGGGCTTTGCATTGGTGTGCAGTGATTTACATTGCTCATCTTCGGAGGCGGTATCTTATGTTAACTGATATCACATGAAAAGTCTATTATAATTCCCTTTCCAATTCTTGGTGTATTCAGCTGCTTAAAGTTTGATGTAACTACTTAACATAAATATTTTTTTCTTATGTCTACTCTATTACGCAGCCAGCTACATTATAACATGTGCATTGCACGTGTGTCTCACTAGTTCTATTAAGAATTTAGAGTGGCCAAGACTTTTTTCTTATTCTTTTTCTTTTTTCTTTTTTTTTTTGAAAAAAAAACATATTGTTAATATTTTTGTGTCCTTTTAGCGTATGGTCCTTTTTGTTATCTTTGAGTAAGAGTAATGTATAATATTTGACGAAAGGTTTGTTACTTTCATTTGGGCAGAAAGGCTCGTCAGCGAAAATATTTAATGACAAAATAAAAAAATTTATACGTGAAGACAACATCTTTTTGTTGGTGTTGTCCTAGTATTGCCGTTAAATGTTAATTTTGACTACCCAATCTGGCTGTATTGAAGTTTTAACACGAAAACAATATTTCTAGAAAATTTTATTAGAACAAAAAGGTTGGTTAACATTTGTCGTCAAATATCATAGAAATAACGATGAGATGCAGCACAAGACATTTTTTTTTTTTTTTTAATAACGGTCAATTTTGTAAGTCGTTAAGAGTTGGGGATTATTACTGCTATTTTTATTTAGTCAAGGCATTAGGTTTTTATAGGATGCTGCGGCTACACAGTCCTTGGTTTTTATAGATTTTCTCCAATTTCATTATAAACCTAAATTCAAAAAATATCATTTATTTATCCATCTTGTGTTTGTCTTCAATTCTTACACATCGTTTCATCAAAATAAGTACCAATAGTTGTAAAAGAACATTTTATCCATGAAATTGTAAACTTGTTGTCGATCAGAATTTGCAATTTTCCAATTAAATATTTTTCAAAATAAAGTTCTAAGATAAAAAAGAATGCACAATTTATTAAAAAACCATGAAACACAAACAAATTATTGACAACTTTAAAGGATTCCTTCACACATTAATAATTTGAAACAAACGTTAAGTTTATTTTGAAGCAATACAAAAGCTGAAGCAGTAACAAGTTCAAACACATTGGCGGAAGAGATCTCAATACATAAATAGATGCTAAACTACTAGCAACTTATTATTCATTTTACTTAAAAGTAGACAGAAAGTATGCATGAGATTAATCTCAGCATTTATGGTAGCAAAAGCAAGCAAATCCCCAGCCCCTCCGATGGCAAGCTCCATTTTGAGCCCTCTCCCAGTTCCTGCATTGTCGATCACAGTTGCCAGTATTTAGGCACATCCCCGACCACGTCCTGCTCATCCTCGAACAGACTTTAGCTTCCACAATCTGTACCTCTGCATATACATATATGTATATATACAAAGAGAGAGAGAGAGAGAAGCTGTATTAGCTAAGTTTACCAACATTTGCATGCATGCTTAAAATACTTCATCAACTTTTACTGAATAAGACTGCACAGTATGATAAATAAATTTTGATGTATTTTTCGTAGTTGAAGTGCTATCAAATTCTTAATACCAATTAGAATCGACTAGAATTCTGGTGGAGGTCTTGACTTCTTCTTCCTTTCTTGTTTGGAAATTTTCTTTTATTATCTATAAAATTAAAATATTTTAATGAAAAAATCATTGCTACCAAGCAAACTTTCGGCATGTTTAGTATATTGAAATGTTGTTTTGTTTCACGCACTGCATACAAAGGCCACGTTTGGTGTGACTTTTAAAATTCAAAAGAAGATTTTGAGATCCAAAAGCAGATTTTGGACATGTTTGATAATTTTATCCAAATAAAAAAAATCTATTTAAAAAAAATTTTAGAGGTAGGTGTATCAATATGGCCTCCTCTAAAAAAATTTTTGAAAGAGAACTCCTTTAGAAATAAGTTTCAAACAATAATTAAGGTAGCTTCATCATGAAATTTTTCTACAAGAATCAGTCTCGATCGAAAGTTGGAAAAGACATTTATTTTGAAAAAATAAAAATTGAACTAAAGACATCTTACCGTTGGATGCTATAAGGAGGAAGCAGATGAGAAGGGCGGAGAAAATGACTTCGGAAATTTGAGATTTTGCCATTTGCTACAATGTGTATGTTGTGAGGTTTATCGCGCTTGTGAGGAATAGAGAGTGCAAAAGAGATATATATAGTAGTCTTGGGGCTAATTTGGTCATTTGAGTAATTGTCGAAGTCTGATTAAAGAATTATAGATTAACATAACTAATTATACTAGGTAACATGACGAGGATTTGATAGTGGAATTTCCTACTCCAAAGATAATGTAAAAAAATATAATTTATGTAATTGAATAGAGTGTTTGACTTAATGAAACCATACTTGCTCACACGACCGCATGAAACCATAACTTGCACAAAACTGAGCATTACATCCAACTTTTAACTTATTTTTATAACTTAAAATTGTCCAGAATCTCAGAATCTACCTTAACAAAAGAAGTTATTAATAATTTCAATAAGAGATCATTGTTTGCTAATTTACTTAAATCAAGGGTTTAACTTAAAGGTAAATTGTGTTTTTGAAGAAAAAGAGGGTTGACTTAATCAAATCATGCTTGTTGGCAAGACCAGATGAAACCATGACTTGCACATATAAGAACATCATTTTTATGATACGTTTGGTACGTTGTATTACATAAGATTAAATAATAATTTATCTTTTCGTCATCTTAAAATTATCCGGTGTTGTACATTTTATCTTAGTCGTGAAGCAACTCATTATTAGTTTCAATAATAGGCGATTGATTGCTGAACTCGTGGGTTATAGATACGAATTCTTTCATGACGTGTATAGTATTCTCAAGTTTAAGTAATTGAGTTAGTCATTATCCGGCTGCAATTGTCTGATTTAATTGGCATGATGTTTTACTAATAATGAATACATATATATAACTTACTCCATCTCAAAACATGAAGTACAATGTGAAAGCTAGGGACTATAGTTCAAAACCAGTCATATCCCATCATTTTACACAGGGTAACATTTTCTCAACTCATGCTCGCTAACACAGTTGATACTTAAATAAGATTGTGTAAATTTGTCATTTGGAAAGTTCATATCTTCTTACAGTCTCCATGAAAGTATTCAAAAGCTTCCTCCACATATTCCCCACAATCTTAGATGAATAGGTATGGTATATCGGTCTAAGATCACATATTTCCTTATCCAACTTCATATGCCTATTCAATTATATTAAGGTGGTTCATTAAATTACTGAGACGAAACAGGAAAAAAAGAAAGCAACTCAAAAGGAAGAGATGATAAAACTTGTGGCTCCATCGAACGCCATTAAGGTAGTAATAAGAGAGTTCGCGTCAATAATTTTGTTTGAGCCCCTTAGTTTAAAGGATGCCGGCTGGTTAAGCCGAAAGTTATGCTCGACATTGACCATATACCATGGCAGAAGCAGTGTGTATATTATTGCTAAAATATGTCACAAAACAAATGAAAAAATAATTGGCATCTTTGAATTATAAGCAGCATAACAGATTAATAAATGGTTAAGTCTATGATCAGACCATTGAAAAAATATATTCCAAATTTGAAAACAAAGAGACCAGACATCATTTTATGGGGATTCCAAAACCTCTTAGGATTAAATAGAAATTAATAAAACCAATACAAGAATTTGTTAGGTTTTGTGACTCAAATATGATTAGGAGTTTTGTGAGATTGCGTATTTGATTTTTACTTAGAAAGGTAGATTGTATCCAAGTTGAATAAGAAAAGGAAATTCTCTCTTGGTCGAAGTTCTATGCACAATTGTAAACTAATTTTAACAGATTTTCTTACCTTTTAGGATTCTTCTAGGATTTGGAACGAGACCTATGAATATAAAGCTCCTCTGTAGTTTTGTTTAAACATTATTACTATGTCTATAATTTTTCTCCATATTGTTAATTAATATACATCATTCCTCTATGATTAACTATCTTTGTTCTTCTTTATTGTTAAGGGATGTTTTATCCCACATCGATTTAATACCGAAACAAATACCAATTTATAAAGATCTTGTGCTTCTCCACTTAATAAGGTTGATCTTATTAAGATGGACCACAAATCTTAACACGATATTAGAGTAACCCCGTGAATTTCAAGATTGATCTGTTCAAATGAGCCACCATCTTGAGAGGGCCTATTAAGGGATGTATTATCTCACATCGATTTAATACTGAAATAAATATCAATTTATAAAGATCTTGGGTTGACCTTATTAAGATGAATCTCAAGTGTTAACATTTATTTTTAATCTTGTTTCTAGTTGTGATCTTTATTATTTCATATTGTATCATTAATCTCATTCATTACAATCCCTTCGGATCTAGCAGAATCGGTGTCCCACCTCGTTATTTTAGCTTTAGAAGAACAACTAAATGGGACAAGTAATAGATTGGATAATATTATGAATACATTGTTAATTTCGAAAGGATTAGGTTCATACTCCTCAAAGGTAATATTAATAATATCCTCTTCTATAGGAAGAAATTCAGTGTTTTCACTAATATCTATAATAGTACTAATAATCATAATCATAATAATAATAAAAATATATTAAATGAGTAATTATATTACCACTACAAATTTTAATTACTACACCACAATTTTTAATATTTTTCTTATTTACTTAATTAGCCTTATGTAAAATTACATAATTAGAGTTTAATATATAACTAGGCAAAAATAAATTATTGTTCTACCATAAATATCTCTCATATTTAAATTAAAAGGGTGCAAATTAATTATACTTTATATGTTTCGAGGGCTATTCAATTAATCTAAGAGTGAACAAATTATTCTAGTTCATGTACACTCATTTATTTTCAAGATTACTCATTTAATCTATGATATTAATTTATTCTCTAGGTTCACGTACACACCATCTTGTCTAAAAAAAATTTCAAGATCATGTATATATAAATTATTATTTTTCTATATTTATTATTCAAATTAATTAAATCTCATGCTCATGAATGTATTTGATTGTTCTCATGAGTGTTATATGTAAATGAATTAATCTCTCAACTATTTAAATTACTTTCACAAATTGATATTACTTCATTTCAATCATCAAATAATTTGCTCTCTCGCATAATGGAATCAAAGGCTATAAGAAACTTATAGGTGCATGAAAATGAATAGTCTATTAAAGTGATGGTAGTTTGAAAGGATTTGGTCTAATCTTATTCCAACAATACTGAAAATTTTGTTATTTTGATGCTCATTCTAATTGACAAGAAGGTAATACGTCTAGCATGATGACTATTTATTTTGTAATTATATTATCCATAAACCTCATTAATCTTAACCTTAATATTCAGTTATTAATTAAATTTTTTTTTTTTTGTTCATCATCTTCAACTTTGAGGCAAAACAATTCATGAAATTCTTTTTTTTTTTTTTTTGTGTGAATGCATGCGGACAAAAAATCTCAATTAAATGCCGAAAGTCATATGGCAATTACAAAGGTTTTATTTAAGTTAGACACTCTTAGTCAAGCGAAAAATATAGTGTACAAAGAGATTCTCTCATTGAATAAAAAATCATTTTACATAAACAATTTTTTTTTCTATTTTATTTTTACAGCTCTAATAAAGCATTCAGAATAACGCGCGTTGCACGATCACCTGTGACTAGTTAAGAATAAAAATGAACTTATGACATGTTTGATACAAATAAATAGCACACAACAATATTAAAAAAGAATTAGAATATCATTTGGTATATAGTTCACTAGTACAATACTAAGTTCTTGTTTGAGCTACATTATTTTTCTTAGAATGCATTTTTGAATAGTATATTGATGGAAAATGTGTGATTAAAAAATAAAGAAAAATTTTGAATTTGCATTTAATATTATTTTATTAAAAATGTGCGATTGAAATGATGTTAAATCACTGTTTATTAGCCCTGTTTGGCTCCCATTCTCTTTCTTATTCTTTTTCTCTTTTTTATTCTTAACCACACAATCTTCCATAAAATAATATTATATGCAAATCGAAAACTTTCCATTCTTTTTCAACCACACAATTTTCAAAAAAATACTATTTCAACCATTAAAATGTATAAGAATGGGGGCCAAACGAGGGCTAAAAATTTATTTATTTTTTTTTTGGAATAATGTAGCTTAAATATGACCTAAATATGCGCTTAAAATTTTTAAAGTACTCAGCTGCTGTCTAATTTCAGACATTTGAAGTGGGTGATATCTTCCATAATCACTGAATTGCTTTCAAGTATAACAAGAGTTAACTCAAAGCTAGAATGTCATAGAGCTTTTTATTTTTCTTCAAACAACAATAATTCACAAATTTTCGCACGGCAAAATATTTGCCCTATAAATAGCACCAACTTAAAATATGAAGAAATTTCCAAAATTGTTACATGCAAAATGAAAGAGAAAATAACGAAAGTACCCTGATTGTGCATGGCGAGGAGCACATATCAAATTGTAGCTTGCTGATGGAGTTATTGTTTAGTCATACTTGAGAGCATCATCATCATCTTCAAGATCAAGTTCAGCATCATCAGATCCACCAAGTAGGGTGAGGAACACTATAACGGCAACCAGTTGGGTAACCAAAAAGTGTTTAGCCCGTCTGCTGAACTTCTCCTCTTCCTCTGTTTTCTCCCTCTTAGGTTTGCTCTTTGGTTTTGAACCTAAATGAATTGAAGATAATGTTTGGAATATAAATATTTTGCTGAACCAATCAGTCTAGAACATTCAATCCAAGATTAAGGAAAAAAGAAAGTGTATTCTTGAAAATTAAATTCTGCAATTTTTCTGTTCCTTAACCCCATCGCAAAAATAAAAAATAAATAAATATAAATATCAAGCAAAGGTCCATACTTTGCCCGTGCTCCATGGATATGGTCAGACCACCTTAATGGTTTCCATAGGGTACAGGAGAGAATGATCAAACACTTAAAAGTACCATTCTTATTTCAAACCAGTAACCTTAATTTGCCAATCTTACTTGTATTCGTATTATCCACACACGGGGGAAGTATTGATATAAGTAAAGGAAACTTCCAACTTTTATTCCTATAATGATTATGATACCATTCCACACGGTAAAATAATGG